GTACGCTCTGCTATATTTTAGAGTTTTCTGTAGATATGTTACATCTAGTTAGTTTATATTGTTGTTCAAGTCTTCAGCCATTATTGGATGCAGGTTATTGATGTTTCCAATTATTACTGTTAAATGTTTATTTATCCTTTCAACTTATGTATTTTACTTCATGTTTTTGGAGGCTCTGTTGTTAGGTGCATTTATGTTTTTATTGTTTGTCTTCCTGATGAATTGACCCTTTTATCATTATGTCTTTTTTTGACTCGAGTAACAAATCTTGTCTTAAAGCCCATTTTGTCTGATACTAGTATAGCCACTCCATTTCTCTTTTGGATACTGTTTGTATGGTATATAATTTTCTGTCTTTTCACTTTGGACTTACTTATATCTTTGAATCTAGCAGGTCTATTGTCGATGGCATATGATTGAATTGTGTTTGATTCATTCTACATTCTCTGTCTTTTGACTGGAGAGAGATATGCATTTTTATTAGAGAAATGATATAGTCATTATTTGATAAATTGTACATTCATTGCTTAATAAAAATTAGTTGATAAGAATTAACATACTTATATTCCTTTTATAATTGATGAATTACATTACTTGTGTTAGATCTATATTGTTTAATGTCCTTTCATAATCTGTCTTGTAGGATTCATTTTATAACTTATTCCTCAATGTTTGTGGGTTTCTTTGTTTTTTTTTATTTTTGAGATGGAGTCTCTCTCTGTTGCCCAGGCTGGAGGGCAGTGGTGTGATCTCAGCTCACTGCAACCTCTGCCCCCTGGGTTCAAGCAGTTCTCCTGCCTCAGCCTCCCATGTAACTGGGATTATAGGCATCTACCACCATGACCAGCTAATTTTTGTATTTTTAGTAGAGACAGGGTTGCACTGTGTTGGTCAGGCTGGTCTCAAACTCCTGACCTCAAGTGATACAGCTGCCTCAGCCTCCCAAAGTGTTGGAATTGCAGGCATGAGCCACCGTGCCCAGGCTCAATGTTTTAATAATATTTTTTTCCAATGCAAATTAACACATTTGTTTAAATTGAAAAATAAAGGCAGAATTTTTCTGGAAGGAATGTACAATTTGGCTTATTGATTTTCAAGTATATGTAGTACACATGTTCCTTTAATTGAGCTAAATATGAAGCACCACAGTTTTGATTTTATATAAATGTATCAAATTCAAGGGCAAAGTATAATGCAAATGTGAGTTCAAAGAGAAGAAAATTTAAAATTAAAAAATCTCATAAAAAAAGAGTCATGGATATCGAATTGTTATGATTTTCAGATTTCATGGAATACATTAAAAAATAATAGTAATTTAAAGTGATAAAATCAAATATATACTGAAATTACATCCTTTGCAATAATTATTTCAACTTATAATATTTTTAGAGGACTTAAGATGTATAAGACATTTAAAAGTGTTCAAATATACAAGCTATTTATTGAAAAATACACAGTTTCTTTAGGTAATTCTTAAGGGAAAAAGTTTGAAGAATAGATTAGAGAACAAAAATCCTCCAAACTCATAGTCTCTAGCTGCCTTAGTTACTACTATATTCCCAGTAGTAACTATATTCCCAATCACAGCCTTGTGACTGAATGAGTGAATTGTGTTAAGTGCCCTGAATGGTATCATTGCAAATTATTTGCTGCCTAAAAAAAGGACAACCCAGGAGGCTGATGTTTTCCTACCTAGGTTAGGTAATTAGTTAGTAGGTAGAGAGTTGGGTCTTGATGTAAATGGGGAAAGGAAAGCAATCCCTACAATCCTGACTGTCTTCCAGACAGCCCTGGATGGCTACGTTTACCTTTGGCAGACCCCAAATAATGAGAGTAAGATTAAGACCTAGACTTAAGATAGCTCAACAAAGTGTTAAGATCCAAACACGCATTCCTTGGAGTATCTACTTCTTGTCTGGCACTTTGTGAGGTTCTGGGCATGGAAAGATGAAGATGACAAGGTACATGGGCAATATGCTTAAAGAAAAAGGTCTGATGAAATGGGATAAATGCCATAAGAGGAACATTTCACGTTATAGGTTCGAGAACTGGAAGCTACAGTTATTTGACCATTTTTGACCTACACAAACTGGTAACCCACATGGTTCAACCTACATGTTATATGCAAATCCAGGTGAAAGAACAATAAATCTTGAGGGATTTTTTAATCAGGGAAAATTATGTGCAGTTGGTGGCATTTGAGCTGTACATTGAAGGGTAAGGGAGAAGATGAGTGGTTGGATAGGTAGCAGGTGGGGCATTTGAGAGAGCATAATCAACAAAAGCAAAAGTGGAGAGTAATGGAAGGTACAGATACCATCTGGAAACGGACACTGAGCATTCTTTGCATTGAGATCTGGAAAGTGAGGATAAGAATAAAAAGGAACCTCAGACTTATGTTAAGAGTGCTGCCAGCCCAATAAGACACTGTTCTGCAAGCAATGGCAAACCATCAAAACTTTTCTTAGAGGAAGTATTGTTAACAGATATAAATTTTAGAACACCCCATTTGTCTGAATGGGGAATGGGTTGCAGATAAGGAGATTGAAACGAGACACTGAGATACTTAGGAGGCGGCTGCAATCGTTAAGGTAAATATAATAGATGTGTACAGGGGTTGAGGAGTAGGCCTGTTTCTCTGATGTAATTGTCATAGATTGACCAATTATTAGGCTTGAAGGGTTAGTCGAAAGAGGTACAGGGTCAGGAATGGGGGGAAAGAGTAAACTAAGTAGAGATACCAGAGAGTAAGAGTAGAGAGTTCTGGGCTATGGATCTTGGTTTTTGTTGGTGTGCATTTGATAGCCGAAGCCATGAAAATGTATGGGATTATCAGGCAAACTTACCTAGGGAGAGCAGGGAAACAGAATAAGGGCAAAAGGGCAGAGGAGGGAGCTAGGGATGAATCTGTACCTTGTACTTTGCCTCATTATATTTCTGTCATAGCACTTGTTTACCTAAGTGTCTACTTTTTGCAAGTTTGTGAGATCTCCAAAGATGGATAGGAACCATCTTATCCATTCTTTGGAATTCTCAAAGCTCCACTATACTCAAAAGGTAGCCACTTAAAGAAGTACTTACTGGATCATACCCTTATTTTCTAGGTTCTAGGCATTGTTCTAAGTGCCACATAGGTGCCATTCCATTTCACATTTAATAATAGCTTTATAAATAGATGCTATTGTTAGTCCTATTTTACAGATGAGGAAACTGAAGCATGAACTCATTCAAGGACACAAAGAGTGAGAGCCTGGATTTAAACTCAGGCAGTCTAAAACCAGAGGCCACTGAGTACTAAAGCCTATGCTATGGAATGAGTGGGATCAGAGTGACTTCTCTTTAGTAAAACTTTGCAGCTTAGAATTACTTTTATAAACAATTCTAGTATCTTCAAAGTAATTTTGTAAGATGGAGGGAGGAGGCAATACTATTATCTACATTTGATTTGTGGGTAATTGAAAGCTAAAGTTAAGTATATTCGTGAAGACACACAGTAAGTGGCAAAATCACCCTTTTATTATGAATTACATTCCTGTGTTCTGTTCACGCCATCTTGTTTCCTGCGAATCCAGTTGTCTCCCCTGTTGCTCAACAAGATAAAATGTCTGGGCTTGTAGCTGGAGGCTGGAGGAAGAATCTGAAGAGAGACACTGTGGAAAAGGCACAGAAAGACCTTTGAACTAGCAGAACATATTTCTTTGAGGGACTTGGGAACTTCATTTTTGTAAAGACTACAAGATGTCAAACTTACTTGTGAATTCTAACATAGTGTCTTTTATTAATAATCGAGAATGCTTGAAATTTAGGTACAAACAATGTATTAAAATGATTGGTTTGTTGGTTGTAAATGTAAACAGAGATAATTTATTAACTTGTTATTTATTCATCCTTGTTGAGGACATACTGTAATGTTTCCTTAGGCGTAACATCAGCGGTCCCTGTACTGTCTAAAGGCTTCAGTCTCTTTGGAGCCTTCTGTAGTTCATTTGCTGAGGAGGATAAGATTTACCCTCTTCATTGGAGAATGGAAACAAGAATGATGGATTCTCAACTCCTATAGGCATTTATTTTACCTAATCCTCTACCACACATAGATTTTCTTTTTTTTTTTTTTTTTTTTTGATGGCTAGTCTTTTAACTAGGAGCAACTCACAAAAGATTTCAAAGGAAGTAAAAATGAGATTGATAATAAGCTTTATACTTGCGTTCAGCTCATTTTAGTTCAGAAAAAAAAAGTCACTGTACATCTGACAGATACTGCCTTATTTGAAATTTCTAAATCTTAGGCAAGTTTGTCCTGCCATTTCTCTGCCATTACACAAGATTGGTTATCTTGCCAAGTTTCACTATTACTAATATAGACTCTGAAGCAACAAGTATTACAGTGGATTTATTGAAGAGAAATATTCTGTTTTGTAAGTTAAATGTGGATTTGTTTATTCATATAAATGGTGAAAGTGTATTTTCTCTATGGCCAATATGTTTAGGCCCTTAACTTATAAAATAAGCAATGTTATGGAAATTAAAACAGAGGTACCTATATTATTCTTGTTTAGGAAAGGATGGAAGAAAGGAAGAAAATTCAGTAATTCTTTCCTATAATATTCACATTTATAATATTAACTATTAACAATTTATAATATAAAATATTAATATTTATATAGTTCTATGTGCAAGGCATTATTCTGAACATTCAGTCCTCTTTTCAAGTCCATGATAAGTATTACCGTTGTCTTCATTACAAAGGCCAGTGAACTAAGTCACAGAGGTGTTAGACAGCTTGCCTGAAACCACAGAGCCAGTAGTAGAAACACTATCCCAGAGTTCTTGCTCTTAATTTACGGTGCTGAAATTGTTGTGGGTCTCATGATTTTGTCTCCTCTAAACTGGAGAAGACTTCCAAGAGGTGGTGACAGTTTAGAAGATCTTTGCTTTTTTGTGAGGATATGTGGTATTTGGTTTTCATATTTTGTTTGTTTGTTTGTCTGTTTTTGAGACAGGTCTTCCTCTGTCACCCAGGATAGACTGCAGTACCATAATCTCAGCTCACAGTGGCCTCTGCCTTCCATGCTCAAGTGATCCTGTCACCTCAGCCTCCTAAGTGAAAATCTTTGAAAGATGGGAGTTAATCTATAAAAATGTAAAGCTAGAGAATTTCAGTATTTGAAAGTAAACTTCTGATTCTTACTGAAATCCATAACAGTGTTTCTTCATGAAGCAGAGATGTGATGCTGCATTGAGTTTATGAGAAACTGATTACTGAGTGCCAGCGTGGTTTTTCTGTTGATATTATTGAAACCAGGGGCCACAGATTTTCATTTATACATTCATGTGCATTGTTGGTGTCCTTCCTCTAGGTCATAAGCTCTACAAATGGATGTTGTTTCTTCTTTCTTCCTTCCCTCCCTTCCTTCCATTCTCTAAGTCAGTGAAATCAGTTAAATGAGCCAGGCCTTGTGCCAGGGGCTAATGAGTAAGTAAGTAAGTAAATAAATAAATAAATAAAGACAAGTGCTCTGGCCTTTACAGAGGCTTAATGATGGTTTTAAATGGCCCTCTGTTCATGTTGTAAGCAGGTAAAAAAGAGGGAATTGTTACTTCAACCTGGCGTGTTGGGGAAAGGCTTCAATGGAAGAGGTTAGTACTTGAGTTGAATCTTAAAAGATATGTAGGTTGGGGGTGAGATGGTCAGAGGGAAATGGGAAGAACATTCTAGGAAGAGGAATCAGCAAGATTAGCCAAGCCTTGGAGGAGACAAATAGTAGGACATGTTATAGAAAGGGAGGAGGGCATTGCCTAGAGGGAGCAAAGGGGTGAGGTGAGGCCGTTTGGGCAAGGCTGGAGAAGTAGGGAAAGTCAAGCCAGTTGAGACAGAGGCATTCATCACTGAAAATCCACCTCCCGGACCTACATCTAACATAGAACCTTTATATGGTTATCATGATTTGAACATTCCCAGCAGTTTGTATTGTAGTTTCTGAGATTCAGGGCTTCAGGGATGCTAGATACTTTTATTAACATATTCTATGATGTTGTATATTGGTCCTGGCAAGATTAACATTGTTTTCTATGATGACAAATAGCTAATATGAAATGAGGATCGATTTGATCTTTCATATAAGGCCTAGAGAATGTTTTTTCACAATTACCCCAGACCTAGAGGGTCTTTGTTTGCCCAACAGCCAGTGTTGGATCAAATTCATCATTTGCTTAAAGTCATCCAGTGGGTTCGTTGCCCTAGCCTACAAGGCCCTGTATGTTCTGTCATCAACTCATACCACTCAACCCCTCACACATGCTCAACTACCCTAGTCATTTAGTTCTTCAAATCCTCAAAGCTTTGTTCTGACTTAGAGTTTCTGTGCTTGCTGCTGCTTTGGCCCAGCTGACTCTTGTCCCAACTGCATGGCTGGCTCCTCATCTTTCAAATTTCATCTAAGATACATTTCCTTCTAGAGACCTTCATGGGCTGTCCTCTCTGAAGTATCCTCCTTCTCAGGACATCCTTTATTTCCTTAGGAGCATTTATCACCAATATGTAAGATTTAATTTATTCATTTATTGTCTATTTCATTTGAATATGAGATCAATGCTACACTCAGATATGCCCTGTTTGACTTATTCTCAGCTAATTACTTAGCATGTAGCACAAAATATGCTCACAATAGAATTTGTTTTAGTTCTATGTTAAATGAATATAAATGTCATGAATGTTTAATATGCAGTAACAAAACATAATAATCTCTCTATGAGATTTTACTAGAAAAAGCTAGACTAATCATTCCCAAATTGTATTTCATGTAGTAATAAGAGGAAAATAAACAAGAGTGAAATTATGTTGTAAAGATTCTGCTATTGTTGTTAAGTAAGTCTAGTTATAAACAAGAAAAACGCCATACTTTATATGTCTACCATTATTGTTCCAGACAAAATGGTGGAGAGCTAAAAGCATTCTCAGCCAAAGACTGCAGCTGTAAAGGCATGGAAATGGAGACAGTATGGTAGCTTGGAGTAAAATCAGTAAGTATGGTTGGAAGAAAGTGACCAATAAAATATTTGAACAAGTTGACAGGTTTAAATGATGGAGAGTTTTATATACATACAAAAGCATTTGGACTTTATGGGGAATGTGAAGCTCTGTAGGACAAAACAGCTTTCAATGGGAAAATAATTGTGGTCCAATTTGTATTGAAAAACTATTTTGTGCCCAATACAGCAAATGGCTTGGAGGGAAATGAGATACAAATCAGATAATCCAGTCAGAAGGCTGTTGCAATAACCTAAGAGCAAGATGGCAGGTCAGGCTTGAAATGAGATGGCACTAAGGATGAAGGTGAACAAACTGGTCTTTGCTATTAGTGAAGTAGCAAAAATTCTTGGAATGATTTCCATGAGGTTCCAATCGAATACTGTTTACAGTTCTGGCTTATATCTTCTATCTATGAGGTTTCAAATGAATTTCCATGTTGCATATCAGTTGGCCTCATATCTTCCTTTTTTTGACAAATACATCTTAAAGAAAACCATTACACTATAGAGCATTCATTGCGAGGATTAAAATAAATGTACATGAAAGCACTTTCAAAATACTATACAAATGGAAGCTATATTTTTATTACCAGTAAGTCAATTTAGTTTACGAAGAGAAAAATCACTTTCTAGCATGTAAGCTCTGGTAAGCAAACTCCCTAGGCAAAATGAATCTTTCTTATAACCATAGCACTTTTTTGTACTTCTATCATAATACCTCCACCAATTATAAATTGTTTATGGATTTTTATTATTTTCATGGTGTATAAATCCTTTGGTGGCTGAGACAGAGGAGTTTTATGAATCATGCACCCTGGTTTGACTACTTACTACAGTAAGTAGTCAGCAAATGTTAATTGCATGCATGAATGAATGATTAGTTCACAGGAAAGGATAAAGGCAGGTAGCAGGGAGCTGTTATAGGCATCAGAGATAAAGTAAACAATAGGGCAAACATGTTAAAGTGAAAATATGTAGTGTTACTAATGATCATATATTTAATTTTAGTCAAGATATGTATAGTGTATACAGTGTATAAGTATATATATCTTGTAGACTATACTACAAGACTATATAGTATATATAGTGCCAGAATACTCTATCAAACTTACTGTATGTAAAGTTATTTTGGAATAATTAGCATTATTACATTATTATTCTAGCATTATTCCAAAATAACTTTACATACAGTAAGTTGATAGAGTATGATACCATTGCAATATTGAATTAGTTTATCCATTCATTCAGCAAATCTGTTTCTAATGCCTGATAAGTACAAAGCACTGTGCAGAAATATTCCTATTCTCAAGAAGTTTGCTATGCAGTGGGAAGGAGAGGAGGGCCTGCTCCCTGCCAAACACTGTCCTAGGAGTTTTGCACACTACCATTGAATTTTCTCTACAGTTTTAACAGTCCTGAGAGGTAAGCATTATTACACACATATTATAAATAAGAAACCTCAGTTAAGAGAATTTCATTAATTTAGCTGAGACCACACAGCTAGGAAGGGGCAGAGGCAGGTCGATGGATAACAAGGAAAAACGTCAAGGTTATTTCTCATTTCAGTGTCTGTATCCATTGCAGTCATTCTGAAATTAACAAATAGTAAGGGAAGGCAAACAAGGACAGATGCATAAAATTATAACAACTCATAACGAGCTTTATCCTCATGGAATTATTGGCTTAGTAGTACGATTTAGGAAAATGAATACAATCATAAGGTGGAATTCTAACCAAAGATGGTCAGATCATTGGGGTAAACAGCTCTCAGAAACTGAGCAGCTTCTAGGTGTGATATGAAAGTATTCTGGGCTTGGAGGCCCAGAAGATCACTATGTAAGACATCACTGCAATTCTAGTTATGTGGTGGGAAAGACACTGAAATTTCTTGACCACACCACCCTAATTTGTTAAATATAAGACATAATAGGAGAGATTTCTACCTTATTTTAAGAATTAATGGGTGGAGGTATGGGAAAGCAGTTTCTAAAATGCATTACAAATTTATGATTAAGACAGCTGATTTCACAGAAACAAGTTTTTGGTATAAGAGCCATCAAATAGGAAAAAGCATAAAGAAGTGACTTATACATTCTTATCCCAAGTAATATGGTGTCTGTTACACAGTAAGTGCTTAATAAATACTTTCTGAGCTTAGCTCCTGAATGGCTGAAAGACACATGGGAAAATCAAATTATCTCTCTTCAAGTGATTGGGAAGACATGTTATACCCAACTTCTTGTAACCTATTCAACATACCAAACAGTTGTCAATAAATATTATAATTCGAAGCGCTGATTAAATTGGGTCTTCTTTATCCATTTGGTTGTTTGAGATGCATATGTATGTATGTATGTGTTGCAGAGATGTATGTACGTATGTGTTGCAGAGATATAGGTACATGACTGTGTGTATGCGTCTAAAAGAATATACTTGGGGGTTCTGGTGAACTGTCATGTTTGTTTGGTTTTGTTATTCCTTTCTATTGGTGAGGGTTGGAAGTATCCAGCACAATTAGGGGCTAGAGTAGTACCATATATTTTCCACAGATATTTATATTTCAGCAGCTATTACAGAGATATGTTAGAGGGATAAAGCTTAAGCCTGGTAGTGCTATACATTAGCCAGAGGAGAATTTATTTGAGGAAGGCTGGTTTATTTAGCATTATCAAACTACATATTCATAGTTATTAATCTGCCTACCAAAAACACCTTTAAATTAGATAGGTGAGTAGACATACACATGCCTTTGCTAAGAATATGGTCAGTTCTCACCTACAAATCTTAATCTTGTAAGGAATAACAAACATAAGATTACTAGACATTATAAGAAGTCTTTATTCTACTTTAACATTTCATTCAATGCCATTTAAAAGTGTTTTTTATAGTAAGATGTTATTAAGAATAAATGTTTAGAACTTCTGCCTCCTTGAAGATAGAGTAGATTATTTGCACATCTTTCTCCTACTAAGGACAACAAATAACCCTGAATATTATATACAAAGTAAAATTCTAAAAGTCCAAAAGGTAAATAAAAGAAGAGTAACTGTCTAGGCATCTTGGAACCCAGGGACAGTAAGGCCATTTGGTTTCCTTTTTGCCTTGTATATCCCAGAATTGGAGCTGGAGAAACTAGAACTCTGTAAATGCTAACAGATTCAAACAAACAACAAAAAACCCCCGAAAAAGCCTGCTCTCTGTAAAAAAAAAAGAAAAAAGAGGAAAATGGCAGTCTAGCAATACAGAAAACTTTAAATGATAACCATCCTATTCCAGCCAAATACTACAGGAAAAGAAAATGTGGTCCAGCCATCAGCTATGGCAGCAAAGACCAAGTGGATTACCTAGAGCTCCATTCTTGCTAGGCTGTAACAAAGTGTTTTCCCCAGCACCCTAAATGTACCTGAATGATGTTAGATGGTATTGGATGGTGTTACAGGAGGCCGAGTAGAAAGCTAGTACTTTCATTCTTGTCAAGAAGTAATGAAGCCCCCACTCACAATGTCAGTGGAAACCACTTGCGAACCTGGATTTCCACCTGCACCCTGCAGTAATTAGGTTCTACTCCCTCCCTCTACTGAGCTAATGTCAGAGGATACCTAATGGAGAATCTAGATTTTTGCTAGTGTTCAGTGGTAATGAGGCCATACAATCCCTGTGGTGACATTGGAGGATGCGGGAAGCAGTGATGAGTCATTTGTACTCTTATCCAGGGTGGTATCAGGGGAGGGCTAATGGGGAGCTGAGACTCCCACTTCCTCTCAGTAGTGCCATGGAGCCCTGTGTTCTTCTCAGTTATCAACAGGGGCCAAGTGAGGAACCTGGACATCTATCTCTACATGGAAGTAATGAGTCAATATCCACTTCTGCTGCTGCCAGAGTGATACCACAGATAACTAACAAAAGTATAAAGCTAAAATAAAATCTGGAGTTCCTTAACAAAATACCCAAAATGTCTAGGTTCCAGTCAAAAATGATTCCTTATACCAAGAACCAGGGAAATCTCTCTTAAATGAATAATAACAGCGAATGTCAACACTGAGATGACAGAGATGTTAAGAGTTGAGGAGTTTTCAACCATTATTTTTTCAGTTCTGCCCTTTTTCTCCTTCCCATATTCTGATGACATGAATGTTAGAGCTTTTATTTTAGTCATAAAGGTCCTCCAGTGTCTCTCTTTTTTTCGGGATGCTCAGATTGCATAATTTTCATTGTTCTCTTTCAGTGTACTGATTGTCTTTTCCCATTTATCTGAAAAAGAAAGTTAGAACAAGTATTATAAAAGATGCTTCAATGAGCAATTATAACATGCTTGAAACAAATGAATAAAATAGTCTCAGCAAAGAAATGGAAGCTGTAAATAAACTCAGATTATAGAACAGAAAATACAATAACAGAAATTTAAAAACTCAGTGGATGGACTCAACAGCTAAATGAAAGAACAGAGGAAAGAATCAGTAAACTGAAAGAAAGAATAATAGAAATTATACATTCTCAACAATAGGAAATAAACTTAGAAATTGAACAGAGACTCAGGACTTATATGACTATATCAAAAGACCTAATATTCAAATCACAAGACTAATGGAACCAATAGGATGTAATCAACCTTTACAGAACACTCCCATCAATAACAGAATGCACATTTTTGTCTATGGTACATATGCCAACTTAAATCACACTCTGAGTGATAAAATGAACAACAAAAATCCAGTCATCCAGAGCATGTTCTCTGACTACAGTGAAATCGAAGTAGAAATTATTTTTAAAAATAACAGTAAAACCTGCAGTCCCTTTAAAACTAGACAGCTTACTTCTAAATAACCTTTTAGTCAATTAAGAACTCTCAAGGGAAATGTTAAAAAATACATTGAACTGAATAAAAATAAAAATAAAAATAATACATATCAGAATTTGTGGGATGCAGCTAAAGCAGTACTGAGAGAAAAATGTATA